GTAATATTTATTCAATAATCAATATACTTATTCAATAAAATAAAAACATTAGAATTATACAAATTAATTGTAAATTGTTACTTTTAGTAGTCAGATTGTTACTTTTAAAACCACGATTTATTATAATTGGATTACAAAAAGATCGTGAAAATTCGTTAACAAAAGATTGTAGTATATTCGATCATTGTATAATCTAACGAACGTTGAAGTATTTCAAAACTCGATTGCATATCCGTACCTATGATAATTTGAATTWAGATTTTTCAAAATCTAAAAAAAAAAATTTCATTATTTTTGCGTAACAGACGATATAGGTACACAGTTTTATAATGTGTTATACTTATTGAGATTTTGTGTTACACAGTGAACGTGTGTAGAAATCTCTTTGTAAAAAAAGGTGCTCAGAAACGATGGTGATTATGTATTGGTTCTAAGTCTAACGCGATTCCTTAAAATTTTCACTACATGAAATTTGGAAGATCTCGAAAGTTGATTTATAATTTTACTTTACCTTTCAATGCACTAACTATTATCGGCCGCAAGATAATTATTGGTTTTTCTGAACGACATATTCGAATGGACTTCGTGTGTACGAAAACAGAGAAGCTATAAGASTTTCCGGAAGTAATATATATATAGSTATACCTTCTTTGTWTAATATATATTAGGACTTACCGGGATTTACGTTAAAAAACAAAACGCCGAGCACTAAATTACCGTCGGTCGACGAGAAATACGCGCGTAATATGTTTTGCGAGGACCTTGAGCGTGGTGATTAATAGTCGSMAGCAGCGAGAACGCAATGATCCTCGAAATGTATTTAATTTGAMTTAGAGCGCTGCATACCGGGATTAGTTTCGTGAAATAATTTCCGTACTCACATGCGAGAATATTTGGCTCCTTTTGTGATTGTGGGATGTCGGCGTTTTTTATAAGCGTCCACCAACTACTATTAACCCATTCTTTAATTTGGGTGGACTGGGTGGTAATGAGTTTAGCTTGCTTCGGCTGGATATCTCCTTACCGGATATTAGTGCTAACATTTCACTATTAAATGAGTCTGTCTATGCTCTTCTTAGTAGTGTGTTGTCAGTTTTCTCTAACTCTTGCGCAGTAAGGCAACATCCGTCTGGTTTTTCACGTCTTGTTCTAAGATAATCGACAAACTTATGCATCCAGGCTACTGCTCGACGAAGCTTATAGAATTCAGAATAAAAGTTGACTAAATTCCTTGTTGTTTCCAGCGATATTAAAGCTAACTTTATAGACCTTTGTTCTGGGAGATCTATTGGGGTTGGCCACATATTTRCATCTTCTCTCCAACCCTTGTCATCATCTCTCAGMCTCAATGGYCCTTGCCATCATATCATTGAGCAATCCCTGAGGCACTCGCACTCAATTGATAAATATAGACAGTACATATTATGGGAGATAGCATTTTCCGATAATTGTCAGTTATATAGGTATACTATAATAAGCCWAATGAAATATTATATTTTAATTTAATTTAAGTCAATATTTTCTGTAAAGAGTTCATACGAAAATTACAAATCTAATCGCAAACGACGTTGTTAAATAAGAATATAATAATAATATAATATATTAATATATAATTGTATTATATTTATTTATAAATTAATATAACTGATGCCCGTTGGGATTGTTACGATAGTAATAATAATAATAATGACAATAATGATAGTACAAGATATGATATCTATCAGAAGGCAATTAATATAAWAAGACGCCTTGTGTATTCGAGATAGGCAAATTCAATGTACACTGCCTGAAACTGATAGAGTAGGCAGCACTAGACACGACGAACGACGACGATAACTTACAGGAAGGGACTAAAATTGTCTTACTTCTACGGGGACAAATGACGTTGAGTTAATGCATGGGAGTCGGGAAGATGAGTTTAGTTAAACCAGGGGAAATCTCGGTGGTCGAAATCGGTTTGGTGCAATGACCACCGATCGCACATGTAATGGACTATGACTTAAAACTAGACTTAAATTCAATATGATGACGATGAGTGATGTGAATGGTCAGGACACGGTAGATGGACTTGAAGACCTGGGCGGCCTCCCACATACCATGGAGGGCACTGGCGGTCTTACACAGTGAGCACGTTTGACTCTGGAACGGAAACGGTAGAGAGACTCGAAGACCTAGGCGGCCTCTCACATACCACAGCGGGTACTGAAGGTTTTACGCAATGAACACACTTCGAAGAATTTGACTTTGTGGATGAACACCGACGACCGGTGTATGTCTCAATGACGAAAGGATACAAAATCATTCACATGAATAAAATATAACTCACGTGCACAATTCGTTGTGGATGATATTTATTATATCAGTAAGATAAACGATATGATGTTTTTTGTTACAATGACTCTAGATAATTATGTAAAATTTGTCACAATGACACACACGAAAATAATATAATAATGAAATATTTCAGTCGCATTGACCTCATACAATTTAATTTGCAACAAAACACAATAAGAAAAACATACGATGATATATTATATATAACATTATAAAAACTACTATTCACGATCAGAATAATTAACAACAACAACGATAATAATATTTTTACACACACACACACATACTAACAAAATATACAT